TCCGCGATGTCGATAACCGTGGGTGATGCGTCTGCATCCCATCCGCTCAGGACTCGTGCTACCTTGCGATCTTCACGTGCGGTGTTCGTGATGTAGGCGAACGCCTTGCTCGTTTTGGTCATGTCCCACGCCCCGCGGCCAAAGATCCATTGGGCTGCTAGGTGGTCGTCGCCGTTCGCGTGCTGAGCTCCGCTGCGGCGAAAAGAGTGGGAGGTAAGGTCGGCAGGAAGTCCTGCTGGCTCGGCGACGCGCTTGAGCATCCGGTTGACGTGACCCTGCATGCTGTCCTCACCCCGTTTCACATCTCCTCCGCTGGGCTTCTTATGCGACGGGGTGCTGCTAACCGCGGTGTATGTGGTCGCAGATGGCGACGTGGGAGTGGGGCTCGCAGTGGCATCGACAGTTGAGTCGATAGTGGCGGCTGGTGCGGTGGTTGGCACAACGGCGCCTTGGAGCGAGGCAGGTTCAACCGCAAGCAAGTCGTGTAGCGGGGCGCCAGCGTCGAGGAGTGTAGCGGCTTGTGGATTCAGTGCTGGCAGGTGTCCAAGCAGGGAGGCGCATGGGGCTTCTTGGGTAGCTAAGGTTACCGACAGCGCGAGCAAGGGACACGACAAGAAGTCAACTTTGTAAGGCACCAGGGTGAGACCCTGCTCCTTGGCCGTCTTGACCCGCAGCAGCCGCAGGTAGAAGGCACCGTCGGCGGACACTGAGCCGTGTTGCTTCTGGACGTAGCCAAGATCCGAAGAACGCCCGAAGCAGTGCCACATCAGGCATGCTAGGGCAGCATCCTGGTAGTCTGCACCGACTCAGGCGGTGCTGTAGACATAACGAACTAAAGCTTTTAAATCATCTTTCGTACAGGGAGGAGCCTTATTAGTTAGTCCACCATTTCCACGTTTTAAGCAGTGCTTATCTAGCGTTTTACCTTGCTTTAACAATATCCATTCAGTAGCCACACGTAAGTGCGGGTACGAGTCGAATAGCCAAAGTTTCACATTCCTATAGTACGAAGACGCAGTGTTGCGTGCTAGTTTACCGTTCTTACCTTCATTTGTAGCAAGATAATAGCCGAATCGATCCATTGCTGCGGCAAGACGTTTGCCAGAATCGTCTTTGAGAATGCTAACGTGGACAAATTCCATACTAACACCCTCAAGCTCCAGCATTTGCTTGAACGCGCTGATAGCGGTGGCGCGTGCCTTTTCGTGTTTGTTGGTACAAAAGCTGAGATGCTCATGTGCGTGTCTTTTCTCTTTTTGAAAAGTGGTCAACGAATGGCTGTCTACCAACGTCCTTTTCACCTGTCCTACTTTAGGATTAGGCCTAGTTGTAAGAACCGTTTGAATATACTCAGAACCTTTTTTGGACTTCATGTTTGTATCGAGATATACATATTTTGGCTGAGCTTCCGACAAATATTTGTCGGAAAGCGTCGGAAGCTGTACACCTAGCCCTAAACAAAATCATTGGCTGAAACTCAGGAGAGAAAAGATATGATAGGCTAATATTCACAATTGAGTAGCAACGGAGCAAATCTGTAGAACTATCTATCGGAAAGATTACTATATTCATCCTCATCGCATTTTTGCTCTTTCATCAAGACCTTGTATACACTCCAGTTTGCCTTCATAAGGCACAGCATTTCTGCTCTGTCTTCATCATGCCGAGTACGCAATTTGTCCACGACGTATCTACTAAGACTAAAGAATCTATCTTGAATCGCGGTCGACAAAGGTTTTCCAAGATAACTCTCTTGCTAGTGCTGCAATAGCAGAATGTTCACGTTCTCCGTGATCTCTGAACGATTTGAGGACATCAACGTGATGGTACAGATCTAGGGTATTGTATTGCCCATCCTCCACAGCACATGGCCACTTCACTACCAGATTTTTCCATTTATACCACGCCTTTCGTGCTTCTTGTTGAGTGTATTCTTGCTCGGCTCTCAAATTGGTTGTCGATGAAACATCTACACCCAGCAGTAAACTCACTGCAGTTGGCATGTTATTTCGCTCCTGTCGTACCTGAGGTACTTCTGCTAACTCTGTTGCGGGGCCGTGGTAGTTTCCGTTATGCAACTTTATACTTTTCAATATTTTGTCGTGTTCGCACGGTAGTTCGTACACAGGCAAGATTAAAGTGTCAGGATCAGAAATATAAATTTTGCTGTAAACTTGGTTCGGGAGTCTAAATGCATAGCTTTTATATCGTTAACTTCATGATCAGGAAATCGAAGTACAATTGCTCTCGTAAACGATCACGGCATCGTTTCTCGCCTGCTGAAAAGTCACTTAGTTTTCTCGAGATATGTCTTTGCATAAATTCAGTCTCTCGTCTATCAGATCTTTCAAGTACCAAGAAATTAAGAAATTCCGAATCCACAGTAACCGCAAGCATTCTGCGAAATCGTAGTAAATAGGAACTTGCAACACTTGTTTTCTGAGCTTCCCCGAGACTAAATTGCACTAACGGGTCTGTTAATGCTTCCATTTCGGTGACAAGAACCCAGTCATTACTGGAAATACGCTGCCACGTACTGGCGTTCAATTGGTAACGTCCTCCACACCAACGCTAGGAAATAAGTATTATGCCCACAATGGAGTCCGACTTGCAGGTTATGTCCCAATGTAGTGTCTGACACTCAATCTCATCGGTATGGAATCGGTGGATCTGTATGATCCAGTACAATTCACTTATATAAGGGTACTAGTGTGGGTCTACAAAACGTGGTTAAGAAATACTGGATGCCCGACCAAGAGGACAGCATACATGGAAGATGCCATGAACTGGCGGTAAGTGGTGATCGGCCAATGAGAGAATGGTGGACGGTCACATCCCATACAAAGTGGACACCAATGGTACAAGCATCCGCGTCCACTTCGATACACTCAACAATTGTGGGTGACCTGGTACAAGGGTGGCGGTGGCTAGAATATGCCAGTCATATCTTGTCAATGGAACATCACTTTTGTGCCAAGCGGCACACGGGTAGACTTCTGCCACGTTGCTTGCAGTGAGCAGCAAGAGCCTGCCAGCCAAATGCTTCTCACTACCAGTATCACCCCAGTCAATCATCGAAAGTATGGAAATACGGCGTCCTTAATGACAATTATCCGACCTACCAAGAAGCTCTAGTGTGTCAGAAGCCCCCTCGTGATTAAGCAGAGTGGTGGATTGATGACACATTTATTCCGAACGACGTAGAGTGGTGGAAACAATGCCTGCATCGCTTTCGAGAATGTCCGCTGCCAAGCAAAGCCTTGTGGATAGCGTGCTATGGAGGCTCAGCAGAATATGGGGTGACGACGACCAATGGTGCCGAATTGTACGTCCACATACCGATGACAAACATTCAAATGAGAACAGACATGTCGGTGAGGCAGAGCCATCAAGCCGCACGTCGCGCAATTACGTCCAAAAACCCACGGGAAACTCGGGTTGGCGTTACCATACCACTCCGTATTACTCACGAGATGCACCACAGGTGGAACTCAATCTGGGAGGTTACGCTTACTCATGATTATACCCGTACATGGTTATATTAGAAGCCTGTTGAACAATCAGATATCGGGTACGGTCCTAGGCAAGCGGTATTCACTTAAAGCCCGCCAATAGCGAGCACAGGAACGGACTGTTACGGAGTGGATAATCGCAGGTGGCTACAGCATAAGTTTTCGGTTGTGTACGGGGCCCCAAGTGGGTGGAGGACATGGCCATCAGCATCGTTAGCCATATCGGAGTGGGCATCACGGCCTATCGCGGAAGAGCTTTCGCTACCCACAGCATCGTGAAGCCGAGAGCCATTACCCGGACTGCATTTCCCACAGGGAGTCGAAATATTCGCCGTTGAGGTTCCATCTGAGACGCATATCTTGAAGCATCGATTCTTCCAGTCGATATCCGGATGTACATTCACAAAGAATGGCATCCCGAGTACACAGTCGAACTCCTCAGGAATGTCAAAGACAACTGCAACACACTGGTAATTCGGACACTATGGAATCGGATCTCGATCATTACCAACTCCAGAATAGACTCGCCAATCTTGTTGTCGCCGAGCATTACTTTGATAGTCCGATCGGCGTAAACGTGTGCCTTCAGTTTATTCTTCTTGACAAATCCACGGGATACGTAGATGGTCGTAGCACCGCAGTCCAACAGGAACTTGGTACCGAAGTTGTTCCCACCCTGTACCATTGATTCTTCGATCAAAAACAACGGTGCACGAGTGTAGACAAGAGGATCTTCGCAAAGCAGATTCAACGTATCCTCGTTTACGGTTAAATCTTCTTTGCTAACTTTCGCCACGTCAGGTCCCTCTTATACTGGTGTGGTTGTTGGTTTCCCTCGTCGCTCCTTAGCTTCTTGTAATCACGCTTGAAGTGTCCTGGTTTCTTACAATAGTAGCACACAGGTCCTTCCTTGGCCTGTTCCGCTGGAGCATAGTGGCCGGGCTTGAAGGAATTTTTGGTGAACGGCTTCTAGTAGCTTGATTGGTTGTATCTCGCCCGTCCACGGGACTGTTGCTCACCCTCTAGTTTCTCACGCATCGGCATGCGTTCACCACCGAAATGAGACATCTCGTACTTGGCAGCTTGGTCCATTGCCTCGCTCAGCGTTGTTGCGTTTTGCAGCTTGACGTAGGCTTGTGTCGCACGCTTGAGGCCGTCACAGTACTAGCTGACTTGGTCGACTTCACTCATATCCTCAACGCGGAAGATCAACGACGAGTACTTTCCATTGTACTCTTCGATATCATTGACTTGGCGGAGTCCACGTAGCTTCTGACGCAGCACCGCTTGGTAGTTGGAGGCTTCGAAGTGAGCTAGGGCGTCATCCGCGAACCGACTCCACGTCTGCTTGCTAGCAGGCGTTCTTGAGGCCCAAAACAGGAACCATCCTGACGCAGGTTCCTCCATCGCTGTCCCAGCGATCGAAGGTAGCGTGTAGTTGTCGTCCGTCACGTCGTGGCCGCTGATTCGGCACAGTGTCTTCACTTGGAAGAGCCACTGGCGTACGTCGTCGTCGCGCTTCACCTTGAACGTGGGCAGGCTGCATGGAACGCAAGGCTTGGGGTCGGTCGGAGTGTGTTGCGCTTTGTTGTTGGCTTCGAGTGCTGCAATCTCGTCTCGTAGCTGTGCGAGCAGTGCTTCCAGCTCCGCTTGCCTGTCTCCTTTCACAGGTAACGCGTCTTGATCGTTCTTGCGCGTCGTAGGGGCCATGGTTGTCGGGTCTAGCCCAACAAGTGCTACCAGCGTATCAAACTGGCCCTAGAGAGGAGGAAAGAAGAAGAGGGAGACCGTCTGAGGGCTGACGGGGAGAAAGCAAAATGTGCTGATCCCTTGACCAACGGCTCTCAGCCAAACAGTTGGTTGAGAGAGTCCCTCTATTACTTAATTCTATCTCTAATGTAATACCTCTCAAAACCTCAAATACAGTCTACTAAGTATACTAAAGATCCACATATTCGAAGATTCTGAAAATACCAGCAAACCCTACCCGCGGTCGCTTCCCTCTCTTGCCGCCTAGCCCCCACCTGCCCGTCCAGGACCTCACACAATCTGAATTCACTCTGATCCTTTAAGTACGTTGCTCTTCTAGTTCCGCCGCCACTGCTTCGCTCGCCTATGAGCAAGAGACAACGCTTGTGAAGAAGACCAGTCTGCTAGGGGCGGAGGCGATTTCGTCAGGAACTACGCTGAGAACGTGGACCCATCTACTAACATTGATAATCAGCACAAGGATTGCGGCAGTGACCAGCCCTCGGAAGCCATGGAATACGTTGTGGCTCGAAAACTGGTTGAGCAGAAGGTTCGTCAGCGCTTTGGCCCTGATTAAGATTACCTTCTCGCTGTTCAGGTAAATGTTGACGCACGGAACGCCGCCAAGCAGTGTTTCCAGGCAAGGTGATGTGAATAAACAAGCGGTTGTAGATAAGCTCAACAGCAGCCCAAACTTTCTGATGAAGCCAATCACAGGAGTGACTGCAAAAGCGCGGCTTAAAACACTGCTTTCTAAGTATCATACATGGTGACCAAGTCGTCAAAGAAGTTGGGGTCTGACGAACCGGAAACTACTTTCATTTGTGCCACGACTGAACTCATGTCTACTGTTGACGACTACGAAGCTAAAATTGAATAAAGAAAAATATGAAAAAGCATGGGGAGGG